CAGGTGGGTCTGCCTGGTAGCAGGGATATAATAGGCAAAGTGGTGCAGGGAGGAGAACCAAAAGGGAAGAATAGCTGTGCTAAGCCCATTGCCTTCTAGTTAAAAAAATTACAGATCTATTTATAACTTGTCTTGCTCCACAAAGGATTTGAGGCACAGCCTTCTTGTCGGAAAACCCCTGATACCAACACTTTGGCACCTGAGACTGTGGGCTCCCTGATCCACAGCGAGGGGCCCAGTTTTGTTCTCATGGCCTCTGTGGAGGGTACCCCAGGCCGTATGTTCCAAAACCCGCCTCTGCCTGCTCCTTCCTTCCTTCTGCCTGCCCCCAGCAGAGAACATGTGGTCACCACGGTCCTCTTTCTTTTTGTGTTTAAACTGTATAACCTGACTCCTGGCAGTACGTTTCCCACTCAGAGCAAATAAATGAGATCCACTAGGAAAAGGTTCAAAAGCCCAGTGTGAGGAGCGGTTGCCAAGGCTCATCCACGAGGGGAACTCCTCACCTTCCCTCAGTAATCTATTTCTCACGGGAGCATGGCATGTGATTGATCACTCATGGGTTGGATGCGCTCTCTGAGGTCATTCGGGCTGGGAGGGCGGAATTGAGAGAAATTATCGATACACGGTAAGTGCCTAGATGGGAGTCAGGTCCAAACTAAGTGAACAAACAAACAAGCCAACAAACAAAAATGCTCAGGATGGACATGGGTTTGTACCGGCACCATCTAACTTCTCCTCGGGAGAAAACTGGCGGGGCTATGGGTTCCTCTGGGTTTGTCTCTCTGTCATACTAATAGATTCCTCCCAGTCTGGATGCCCAGCTCTGGCCTGTTTATACGTTTTCACATACCTCCTTAGCCTAGAGCGACACTTAATAATTAAGTCACTGCTAGTTTTTCTCGTTTTCAGAATAAACAATTCCAGTTCCTAAAGAAACTTCCCCAAAGGAGACTTATGATAGAGGTGTCGTACATTAATGATGTCCCTTTATGTTTAGTACTTTTAGGCTCTCTCTGCTTGTGTTTGTGAGCCCAGCAGCTAATAAAAACAAGCAGTGACAGGCTCACATCACTTTCCGACCTTGGCTGTGCTTCCCCACACCAGGTGGACTTGTTCTGGCTCCCAGAGGCCTTGGCTCCCAGCCTGCAGATACGCTCTGGTCATGGGCACCGCCCTCCATCGCCCGCTCTGCCCCTAGCGGCCCTGGCTGCTCTGCTGCGAGTGCTCCTTCCGCTCCTGCTGCTCCTGCATGGCACTGCTGCTGCGGTTCTTTCTGAAACTGGACAAACCGTTTAAAAAGTTTTACAGGAAAGAGCCAAGAGCAGACAATAGGCAAGACACTCCTAAAAAAAAAAAAAATTTAAAAAGACCTTACTAGATATCAAGAATTTAATAAGATATAAAAATTAGAACTGTGTTATCAGTGCAGGGATATATTAATAGATCAGTGGAATACAAGAAGGAACCCAGAAAGTGTAACCCACACTTACACAAGCATGACAGAGAAGGCACTGAAGGTGGACAAGGGAGATGAGGGTCTCTTCAATAAATGGTGATGGAAAGTTGGTTTCAAGTAATACGGGAGAAAAATAGATCCCTACCATGTACAGAAAGTAGTTCTGATAGCATAAAAATTTGAATGCGAAAGGCACAATTTATAAAATCTTTTAAAAGAAACTATGGAATAACTTTATCAACCCAGGATAGGAAAGACTATCTCAAGTCACAAAAGGCACACACCATAAAAGAAATGATTAATATATTTTTCTACATTAAAATGTAAACTTTTATTCATTAGAATTCACCTTAAAAAACAAAAAAGACAATCCAATTTAGAAAAACATTTTGGACACATATAACTGGTAAATGATTAATGTCCAGAATATATAAAATATAAAGGGCACCAAAGAATCAAAAGTAAAGAGAAATACCCCCCAAAAAATAGACAAAATACATAAACAGGCATTCACAGAAAGGAAATACAAATGGCCAATGAACAAGTGAAAAGATGCTCAACGTTTCATTTGCTTTGCAATGAGATATCTACCTCATATCCAACAGATCAGCAAACATTTAAAAAGTCTAACAATAACAAATGCTGGATAGAATGTGGAGAAACCAGAACTCTTGTACCTTGTCAGTGTGAGTATAACCGGGTACAGGTATAGGAAAACAATTTAGCGTTTCCTGGTGAGGGGCAAGATAGGCACATCCTCCAACCCCGCAGGTCTATACCCAGATATGTACCCTGGACTGTCTATGGTCATGTCAATGCCCAAACCCACACCCACAGACATGTGCAAGAATGTTTCATGTCCCACGTTCAGAACAACCAACCCAAATGTCCAAGTAAACATGTATATTTTGATATGTTGACTCAATGCAATACTGTACATCAGTGAAAATCAACAATTGCTATGCACATTAATATGGCTGAGTTTCATAAAACAATAGGAAGTGAGAAAAGCAAAAAAACCCCACACTGTGTTGTTTTATTTATGTAAAGATCAAAACCCAGAAAAACTAAAATTGTATTGTCAGAGACATAGGTATTTGTTAGTGGGTGCTCTGGCCAGAAGGAGGTGGCACCCACTAACTGAGTGGCTATGATGGCTTATTAAAGGGACTCTTTGTACAAAAATGTGAATTTAGTTAGGGCGTGCATTCTCCATGAGGGCAATATCACCTCCAAAGGGGGTGCAAATTGGTTCTTGGGGCCAAATAATATTCTTTTCATGTACAAAGTACAGAAGAGACGTACAGTCCATTAACAGGCCCTATGCCTGTGTTATTAAAATTTCATGGTAGGGAAAACTATTAAGAAAAAATATGAAAAGGCTACTTAGTGGGAGGTGATCATGAAAAATAAAAGATTGAGAAACACTTGGTTTGGGAAACTAACAAAGCATGGACAGTGCCCCAGGGCTAATAAACAGGATGCTTTCCCTTCACCAGGCCTGAAGGAGCAAGGAGAGGGGAGGAAGGGAGGAGCGTAGGGAGGTGGGGGACTCAGCAGGGAGGGGGCATGGGAGCAAACACCTGACCTGATTCTCCTCTTCCTCAGACCTCCCGTCAGTGCCTCTCTGCGGCCACACCCGTCAGGAAGCCAGCGACCAAGGTGGGCCCTGCTGGGGCACAGAGCAGGGTGGAGAAAATGAGGACGGATCTGGAGGCGCAAACAGCAGTTACACAGCAAACACGTGAGGTCAAATTTTAAGGGACAAAAGAGTTGTTAGCACACATGGACTGTGTGTTTTTGGACTGTGATTGCTTCTGGGGCCAGGAAAGGAGGGCCATATGAAGACGTATGGTTATGTCTTCAATAATATCGGTGATATCCTATTACTTAAGTTGGGGACTGGGTTCACAAGTGCTTGTTTTATTCTTCTTCAACAATACATGTATATCATTTATATTCATTTACATGTGTAATCCATTTCATATAATAGTTTTTTAAAAGTCAACATGGCAGTTGTAGGAAAGGTAAAATACAAAAGAAGCCATCATCAGGTGTGGAGACAGAAAATTAGAACCCAGGTTTTGCCACTAACTAGCTGTTTGAGATTAAACAAATAAGTTAGCTTCTTTAATGACCCCTGTTAGAGGCTGAGGACCCCCAGCCCCACCTACTCCCAGGGATGTCAGCATCAAGTAAAATCATACATGGTGTGTGAAATAAAAAATTTTTCCTCTCTCCTTTTCTACCTATTTTCCGTCCTATTATTTACTCTCCCACAAGTCTCTCTGCTTTCGCCCGCCCAATCTCTCCCCCATCCCAGACCCTGGCCCCATGTCCAGACATGGGGCCACGCCCCGTATCCTTCCCAGCCTGGTCCTCCACCTCATGTCAATCGGCCGGGCTCAAGCCCCACCCCAAGCCCTGCCCCTCCAGGATGGCCTCCCCTTGGCTCCTGCACAGTGTTTTATTGGACCCTTACGAATGGTGCACATTAATATATATAGGAATTAAGACATTATCATAGGAGCAATCCTCAAATGTAATTGGGGCTACTATTGATCAGTTACTTGAACAAGTTGGTCAGACCTGCTAAGACAATGAAACACCAGGTTTAAGCATCTTATTTTATCTTAAAAACACAGATATGGGTTTATTTGCTAGTCTTTTGATAAGAAGCCTAGGTTTTTCATTTAAGAATGAGTTCCTCATATTTTTTTTTTTTTGCATCATTCCAGTTTCTCTAACGTGGAGCAAGAACACAGTCATTTGAGATGCCCAAGGTCACAGAGCGTGCAGTAGACATGGTACCAGGTGACTATGTATTCCTCAGCGTGGTGCCGAGCAAGGGAGTGTTCTGCAAATTCAGTTGAACTGCGCAGAGCAGCTTGGGTGGGTGCCCGAGGAGGGCTGGGATGGGAACAAAGAGGACAGGCTGTGAGATGCGGGAGGGTGCCAACAAAAACTGGACTGAAGTTATTATAACACTGCCTCTGGGGGTCACCCCCAGATCAAGTTCTGGGCACAGCTACTCCCACACGCAGGGCTTCAACCACCGTCTCATACCCGCTGCTCATTCCGGGACTGAATGCTTTTTTGGCAAGTGTGTGTTGGAGGTGGGCTTGGGAGGCTGGGATGGAGAGAGGGACACTGACAGAGAGGGGCAGGAGTGGCTTCCCTCCCAAACTCAGCTTCCTTGGCATTTCTGTCTGAGCTGTGCTCCGAGGTCAGAATCTAGTCCACAGCTATTTAAAAGTTCTTGCCTTGCCTCTGGAATGCTGGCAAGCTCTGGTGGAATTCAGAGTTCATAAGTACAATTTCCTTGGGCTGTTGGTGTTTCATATGAGAGGCTTAGCAATTCCCAAAGAGACAGTGTACATATGTGCATATATATACATAGTGTGTATGGCGTACATATATGTGCATGTGTATGTGTGTGGTCCTTCCTCCCACCAAAGCCAGGTGAGTACAGATTGTACAGAGTTGGGAAGTGGCCTTCCAGTTCATGGCTCCCGGAATTCCACGGTGCGCATGCTGCTCTAGATTTTATTTTGTCCCCCACATGAGCGGTGCTCTCCCAGGGTGCAGGGAGCCTGTGCCGGTCTGGTCTGTCTGTCTTGGCTAGCCCTGCCCAGGGATAAAGTATCATGGGTCAAGGGTGAGAGGGTATGCAGGCTGCGGAGGGAGGGACGGTAGGCTTAAGGCACGCTGGCTGCCATTGCTGAGGCAGAAGGTGTGGAGCAGTAGTGACGTAGAAATCTAGGTGATGTAGGAGCCCCTCGGCGCTCCCTGTGTTTTCCCATCGTTCTGCCCACTCACGGGTCCTGATTTAGCAGCTAGAGCTCGGCCAGCTGTACAACTGCTGCCCCGCTGGGAAAAGGGTGGTGTGTCCTGCCGTGCCCCTGATTAATACTCCGGGAGTGCTAATCATTTATTTCCTGGTAGTGTGACTTAGGTTCTGGAGAGATTTGGGCTGGGCAGAAGGAGGTCCTTCTCTGAGAACAAGGGTAATTAATGACTGGGTCAGAAGCCCTTGGATGGCAGAGCCCTGATTTTGTAGATGCTGCAACTATGGCCCAGAGAACTTCACTGATTTGCCCCAGGTTACACAGCCCGGGGCACACTTCATGGGTACTATCTTTTTTTAAGGATTTATTCATCCAGGAAATGTTCATTAGTTTTTATACAAAATGAGAGCAAATAGCCACTGGTTTCTGTGTTTACCAACCCTGGTGCTTTGCTGGTGGAAATGGGGCCCTTCCACAGAGTCTCAAGGAAAGCATTTCTGGACACCGAAGCATGAGAAGGTGAGGTGTAGTGGTCTGTTGGGGTAGAAATAAAAGACCACCCACAGGTCCCCAGTGTCTCATCTCCCTCCCTCCCTCCCTCCCGCTGTGGAAGAAGTCCAGCCTCATCTTCATCAGGCCCAGAAGAGGGGCCGGGGTCCAGAAATTCTGTGCCATCAGTTCAGTCCATGCCACAGCTCAGTCCAGTTCAGTTTCTGTCCTCATCTGGCTAGTTTAGTCTGTATTCCCAGCTGCAGGGCCTGCTAGGTTCATGTGGCTGCTACAGAGGGAGGACTCAGGAACAAACGAACATGCAACATGTGAGAGAGACAGAGAGAGAAAGACAGAGAGAGGGGCCTTTGTTCAGCTTTGATTTTATTATCTTGGGCTTTCAAACTGACCAATCTCTTCCCAGTCCTTCCCAGGCTTGGGCTTGGCCCTCCCCCTAATCATTCAGTCCTTTTCCCAGATGAGACACTTCCCTGTTATGGCCACATCTTCCCTTCAGCAGAGGAATTGAGGAATTTTCGGGGCTCTTCCCCCCGCCCCTGCCATAATCCGGCTACAGAGCCAGTTCTGACCCTCCCCCCAGGGCTGGGACTGAGGGTTGTTGATCCCGTTGGCAGGGCAATGCTGGCTGTCTCCTGGAATGTGTGACACTGTAGCTTCCAACCTAGTTAAGTTCATACACTTTTGCTCCCTTCTCTTTTATTAATATCTAGCTACCTGGGCTAACAGTACGTTGTGCAAGTTATTTACTCTCCATTTCTTCCTCTGTACAATGGGATAAATGGCATCTCCCAAGACCATGGGGAGGATGAAGCTATTTCTGTGTGGGGGGCTCAATAAATGCTAGTTCCCTTTTTCTTCCCTTAGAGTGGTTTTCTCCTCCCTGCCCTTTAAACTCACAATAAACAAAAACAAGCTCACACCTTATTTCATCGATAGGTTCACCTCAACTGCATGTTGTAATGAAGTGTAAACAGAAATGTCCTCGCCTGCCCCGAGAGCTCCCCGGCTTCGTGACAGGCTCTGTGGGGAGGACACTGGGAGCAAGGGCTGAGGGCGGGGTGGGTGTGGAGTTACGGAGGAGAAGGGCCTCCAGATGGAGGGTCAGAAGAGGCTCTCTTCACAGTTAAATAAATGCGCTGAAGGAGGAGAGGCCTCAGAGAGGGAGGGGAGGATGACAGTGACCACAGGACGTGACTCATGCGCGCTCCCTTCCCTAGTGAGGGCTTGGAACGCCATCCACCATCCGTGGGAGTTGGGTTAAGCAAGCAGGCCAGTGACGGCCGAGCAGCCCACAGATCCCAAGAGGGCAGCACGGCAGGGCACTCGGTATCGGTCCCGGGACAGGGATGGGAGGGTCAGAAAGGTGAGGGCCACCTGGGGACGGAGGCCAAGGAGAGACACCTCCCTTCTCGGCAGCATCATGGCTAAGCAAGGAGGTCCCCAGTGGGTCAGTCTTAGCAGCCTGGGCAGGGAGGGGTTTGCCAGCTTCGTATCCCAGCCACCAAATTAGTGGTTCTCCAAACGGTTTTATGTCCTGTGCTTCTTCTTGAAGCTCCTCTGTCATAGGTGTTTGGCAACAGGAAGCAGACGACTTGACTTGTTTAGTGGTTATTTTCACATACAGCATACATTAAAACAAAAATGTCATAAAAATATCAGTCTGGTTTTTTCCTAACAGCAATAGGAGACACGAAGCTTCCATTATCATGTTATATCCTATAGGATCTGTGGGACAAAACAGGACATTCATGGGTAAGGGCTACCAAAATGTAAGACTGGACCGAAAAATCACTTGAAGCCGAAAGGCAGACCTGAGCGCACAGTGGGGGTGAATCACCCTTCAAGACTGACGGAAGGCCAATTCCAGTCTCTTCTTAGAAGCTTTATTAGCAGGACCTTAGGGAAACATGATGACCCTCAGCTGAGTTTCCCCAGAAAACATCAACCCGTGGGAAACAATTCAATGGCCTTTGACCACCAGGGTTCCCAGGTCCTCATTTCCTCCCTCAGAAACCCCCTCAGCAACAGGGGAATCTCCCCGTTGCTGTTTTTCACTCTGCCACATGGTGGCTCCACTCTACAGCATCCCACCCACCACCAAGACCCAAGAAACCGGGGTTGAAATGCCAGGCACAGGGGGCGCTGCAGTCACCGTCCAAATCCTCCACACAGGTGAGGGGTCTGAGGCACCAGCCCATGGCAGGTGTAGCATCCACTCAAAGGGGAGAAATGGAGTTGGCCAATACTAGATGCCAATGATCTGAGGAGGGCATCACCCAGAGGAGAAACAGAAATGAAAATCAAGTACCTTTCAAACCAGCCGTCTCTCTGAAGGTCTTAGGAGACATGAAGAGTCCATTCGGAGGCAAAGCATGCAGCCTGAAATGAGTACCTGGGCTCAAGATCACAGCCCCAGCCACTTTTTAAGGGGTGAGAGAGGAGGAAAGGGGTTGTGGCTTGGCTGGACAACCAGTTCCCTTCAATGTTTTCTGTTCTTGTCCCTCACCCTGGATTAGGGTTCTTGTTATTTTCCTGCTCCTAATCACAACTCTTACTAGGTTCCCAAAATGTAGTTCACACTCCCTCAGATGAAGAACTTGGGATGAGTCCTGAAGACTTGGCCAGGAGTCTAGAGCCACTGGTGAGTAATTGCCACCTCTTACCTCTCCCTTCACTCATCCCTGGCCAACCGTCTTTGCCCTCAAGGTCCCTCCACTGAGGGCACATAGAGTGATGTGTCTTGTCTGGAATCAGTGGGCACAATCAGAAACAGAGTGGAGAAGGACGAGGGCTGAGTTTAGCAAATCAGAGAAGAGAGCCGGGGAGATGATGGACAAAGCCACAGAAACAGTGCCAGGAGAGCAGTGGTTTGGAGCTGGCGAGCCGGAGCGTGGTCACGGTAGGAGTCTGGAACCTGGCTGGAGCCTGCCGCTGCCCAGGCTTTCCACAGCGGGAGGCAGGGACAGACAGCACTCACAGGCCGCCCCAGCCATCGCAGCCCCAGGCCAGGTGCGGGCCCTGTCCAGGTACCTCAGCTTTCCAATCTAGGGCTCCTGAAGACTTCTTCCTAGAGGCGAGGGCTTGTTTATGGTCTCCCTTAGTTCAGAAAAGAAAAGCCTGGAGTTTTGAGGCCAACTGTCAACCCTCAAAGTCCCTTCTCACCATTTCTCCCTGAAGGCCTATAAGGCCTCTTGTGCGAACAGGGTCATTGGACCTGTCCTCCTGTCCCGAAGTTCAGGGTACTTTTCACACACTGCCTACCCCAGACTTTTCCTGTGTTACTCACCTATCCATTTCCTTAAATCTCCAGTTGCATTTTTGATAACTATAGCAAATGATATCTCTATTATTCCAATTAAGTAAGGTACTTTGTGTTTAAGTATCCAGCATTTACTATGTTCTCTAGACCCTTTGCTAAGGGCTTTATATAGATTATGGCATTGAATCCACATAACAACCCTATGAGGTAGGTACTGTAACTTATATCCCCACTTTTCTGGGGGAGCTAAGGAATAGAGATATTAACAAGCTTGTCCAAAGTTCTGGCCCCTTGAGAGAGTTGAGCAAGTTATAACCTCTCTGTGGCTCATCTGTAAATGGGATGAAGAGTTAAAATACCCACCTGGTGCGGTTGCTGTGAGAATTGAACGAGCTGGTGTGTGTCGAGGGCTCAGAACAGAGCCTGGCCCGTGCAAGCTAAATAATAAATGAACGTCTAAATGGCGGAGCTGGATGTGAGCCAAGCGCTTCAATTCCAGGGCACCCGTTCCTAACCGCTCTCCATTTCCTGTTGATTGTGTCCTCCTCTGTTTCTTCTAAAAGCTTCGGCAGAGCCTTTGACTTCCACTGTGAAAACAGCTGTGGAAGGGGATCAGTTCACGGTGACCCACGAGTTTCTCTTCCTGAGAAGAACGTGGCGGCACTTCATGGGTTCTCCTGGTCCAGGCACCACTCCGAGCACTTTACATGCATTAACGCATGTAGTTCCCATGCGGGCTCAGGAGGCAGGCACTATCCCAGGTGACAGATGAGGAAACTAAGGCGCAGACCACCCTGACTGTGCCGTCTTATCTGTCCTCCACCCAAGCCTTCCCGGGGCTTGGAGCAGGACCCTAGGACAGTAATCCAGGGACTCAGCGGGAAGGCGTCTTACATGGTCCTGCCTTTTCTGCCTTGGTCCACGACCAAGCCCCCTACTGGACCTCAGGTTTCAAAAACCGCAGCAGCTTGACTTCCATGGGTATATCAGACTCTCCTAGTCTGACCATTTCTAGGGCCCAGTCATCATGGTTTGCCCAGGAATGTCCCAGTTTTAAAGCTGAGAGACCTGTGTTATGAGAAATCTCTCAGCCCCAAGCACACCAGGACAGTGGTCACCCTCCCCACTGTACAAGCCTGCGGCCATTTTCTGACCCGATAAAGTTTTGTTCTTGGTGCTCGGTAATCCTTAGATTTTCTCATTTATCTCCACAAAATAATCTGTCCTCTCCAAGTGACCCTTCAAATCATTTTAATGTAATAATAACTGCATCACATTTTGTTTTTATTGTTGACACTATTACAGATGTCCCCATTTCCCCCACTTTGCCTGCCTCCACCCAACCCCCCACCCCCCTCCCTCCATCCACCACCACATTGTTGTCTGTGTCTATGGGTTATGCATGCATGCCCTTTGGCTAATCTGCATCAGATTTTAAATCACAGATCATAACAAACATTATTAGGGAGACTTACTTTCCCAACAAAAGAGATCTCTCGGGTTTACTTATCTAACACACATGGATGGGGCATAACTAGCCAAGTCCACAGTTTCCTCTCTGCCCTTCACCGATGACCCACGAAACTATTACCTTCCCTTTGCATTTGCATTTTCCTCAAACACATCTCCTAACGGTTTCCTTTCAGCCAAATGCAAGCAGCACAGTGACGAGATCTAGGCTGGGCACTGGGGAGACAGCATGCATGGAAGAAAGAGCGTGGACTTTGAAGGCAGAAAGATGTGAGTGTGAATCCTGTCTCTGACATGTCATTTTGCGTAAGTCACTTAATCTCTCTGAACACCGTCCGTAAAAAGACAACTGAGATCGGTGCTGGTGTATGCACAGTGACTTGCACGGAGGGGGATGTGATAGGTACTAAATGACTGATGAAAGAGGCCACAGTTTGAGACTGCAGTGCCGATGGACTGGCAGGACCCCGATCCTAAGTGAGAGGTGCGGTTTCCAGGGATGCTGGGTGGCTGATGCAAGCCTGGTGTGGTCTGTTAGCCACCTTCTTCTCTTCTGACTTCAATGTGCCTTCCTCAGGGAAGTCTTACTACAATACAAACTCACAGGACCCTGTTCTCCTTTCTCATATTACTTTCAGAATAGGAACTCAAAATTTACTTGAGAAATTATTTAATCTCTGTAATTTCCCACCTGCCCATAAACTCCCTAATGGAGGGACCATGTCTGTCTTGTTTACTGTTGCAACTTCAGCAGCCAAATTAGTGCCCTGCACACAGGAGGCATTCAATAAATACTTGTTGGAGGAAATCAATCAATCAATCAATCTAAGGACCATAGCAGGTATGTATGTATTACTAGGGGAAGACAGAGGCGTCCTGTAAGGAAGCTTAGACAGTGGTGCACCACTAGATGAAGCTAATGCCTTGCATGGAAACCATCCAGGGGGCTTCTCAAAGGGACTCAATTTCCAATACGAGGCAATTCTGCTGATATTGTAACATCTATTCCTTAGCGAGCACCTTGGTAGGCAATTTACAATGCATTTTATATACTTCCTGTAGTCCTTACAACAAGCACAGGAGAAAGGATCCCATTTTACAGATGAAGAAATATAAATTGCTAGTAAGTTTAAGTAACTCTCCTGCAGAATACACAACTGTGGACAGTGTGGACAGCTCTGAACCTGGCTCTGCCGGCCTCCAAGCCAGTGCTCCTTCCCGCAGACCCCGTGCTGCCCCTTCGGTGGGCGATGCAGCCAGCGAACATGCTTCTTGCTGTGGCAGGTTCCTTCACCAACCCCCCTCCACAGCTGAGTGGGGTTTTTCTCTTTCCATTTTATTTTTGTATTGGTTTCATGTGTACAGCTTATTGGTTAGACAAGCATACACTTTGCATAGTGTCCCCATCAATTATCACATACGCACTCAGAACTCTCCACACAGCCATAGATTTCTAAAAAGTCAACTTACAGGGGAGGGGCAACGAGAGAATAGACTTAATGGGTCTGAGCCCAGACATTTCAGTCCCGAGCTCACTGTTCAGCTAGGTTGTGGCATTTGGAGAACGAAATAATCCCCAGTTTATTGGTCACTATATAATAGTTCTCCACTCAGCATCTGTGTGCACACACAGGGCCGAGCACACAGAGGTGGGCTCACGATCTGGTTGGGGACATAAGACGTACACCCATGGGACATCACGATACATGCGGCACCTACGTGCCTCATGAGTTATAGACATAAATACAAGAGTACTAGGACCTGAATGGCCAGAAGGATTCCGACTGGGGTGGTCGCTGATCTGAAAATCAGAGCTGACCGTTCCAGAAAACACCCTTAGGGAGGTGCAGGTAAACCGGCACCTTTCTACCAAAGGTGTGGACCAAGTACAGTGGCAGGAACACTGCCTGACGGCTTGCTAGAAATGCAGGATCCTGGGCTTCATCTCAGACCTCTGGACCGCAATCTACATTTCAATGAGATGCCCAAGTGATTCACACACACGAAAGACTTCTGGAGACAAGTATTTGTATTTATATGTGCCTTAAAATAAAATAATACTCTAACTAAAACATTCTTCAATTTCACTGTTTAGTTATAACTTTGGATTTTGACTTGATTTTAAAAGGATAGTACTGAACACTCTAAGCTTCTGCCATTTCTCTCTACAAGAACCTATGGAGATTCTTCACAGTTAAATGTTCTGTGCTCTAGAAGGAAAGCTCTTATCCAAAGCCCCTTGGCGTGTATCTATGCAATGGGAATCATTCTTCAAAACACGAGGCCTTGAAAAATAGTATTCTTGAATCGCTGAAGTAAGTTTACCTTTTGTTCAGTATGGTTTGGGTCCATTGTAATTCTTTGTGAACTGTTCGTACACGTGGAGTTCACAATGGAACCAGGACTGAGTTTCCTAACTTTGCTCCCCACCCCCCCACACTGTCCTTCCGCCCACCATTCTAGGGAAATGAAAGTTGGAATGTGGAATCCATGAAAACTCTGGTGGAGAAAGTCAGCATCATCAGTAAAACTTGATTGAACATCTCAGGAAGAAGTGACGGTGGCCCTACATCTAACTGGGTTCCCGTTTCTCTTACCCACTCATGGAAGTTGAGGCCATCCAGAAAGGTGGCACAGTGAAAACACACGGGCACCAGAAAACTGAGGGAGGAAGCACGGGCCCAGGTCTGACACATGGCCGCTGCGTGGTCTCCCTTCTGCGCATCTCAGGTCCCCGTCTATAACCAGTTGCTAAGGTTTCTTCCTGGTCCGGCAGTACAGGAGCCTGGTTAACCAGGAGTTATGGCATGGGAGTTCGTCACTAAACCCAGATTATATACTTCCGCTAAAAATGGCCCACACTGTCCTCACTTCCATAAAAGTTGAGAAGGCTGGTTTTCATAACAATTTACTTCCACGAAGTCATTTATAAACAATTCTGTAAAGTGACAGTATCATGTACTGGCACCTGCAAAACTCTATTTCCTTTGCTTCTGTTCCTGCTCCCAGCTGCGGTGCCAAGAGCCGTCCTGATCTGGAGGGGCAGCCGAGTTCTCGGGCTGCCAGTCGGGCTGCGAGAACAGAAGGTGCTGACAGGGGTGGGAGGGAAGGCAGGCCCTCCTTCAGCTTAGTGCTCTGAAGCCGCCCTGCACAAACTTCTGCAAATATTTTGCGATGTTGCAAGGTGTTAGGAGAAGTGAAGAGCAAGCTGTGATTCAGCTGGTATGAAGACTTTGCAAACAAAAAGAGTGATCTGTTTGGCAGCAAACTATTATTTCTGCCAGAGCCCACAGACTGGAATATGGAAAGAAATATTTATGTGAGACTTTGCTGTCATAGATACTGAATTTTCCAACTAAGACCGATTTGAAATGAATTGGCCCAACAGGCCGTAACTGTGGACGTCCAACCCCTGGGCGCTGTGCGCCTCGGGGGATCTGGAACCCCATGTGCAAGCTCTGACTGCCAACTGGATGAACAATGTGCTCATTCATACGACCAGTGGTGACGGAGTGATAATGACCGAGAACGTGCCTGACTCCTCAAATATGCAAAAAATGTGGTGCTGAATAAAAGAAATTAACTTACAATGTTACTGAATATATCTTAGTTGTTTGTTAGGTAGTTTCTGAATCAACTCATACTAAAAGTAGAGTTAATATCATGCTTGAGTTTAAGAAAAAAAGGTTTTTGTACGTCCAAACACAGTGTTCACACTTGTCATCTTTTCACTTCATTCTTAAATTAGGGACTACGCATACCTTCCGTCAGGAGGGAAGATCTTCCCCTCGTTATTGACTCTGCTTTCAGGGCGTATGTTGGACAGTGTGTTACTACTTGGTTTCAGTTAGGAAGACGTTTAAGTGGCTAGTTGAGCT